TGAAAATATCTCACCACTGGGCAGCTCTTTTCGGGTGTTGAAAGCTGGGATGATACGAGATATTTTAACTCCCTCCGAGTGACTCTTTCTTGCTGGACCTGGGGCTGCTTGGCTCGAAGGCTCCAGTGCTGCTCCAGCCTTTCTCTGCCGCTGAAGCAGACCCAAACCCAGGGACACCCTCCCTCCCCCAAACCCAGGGACCCCCTCCCTCCGGGTCGAGCTCATGCTGGAGACCTGGGGCCACTTGGTGCCAGGACAGCTCCCGGTCCCAGTGTGGGTCAGGGTCCCCCCCAGAGCAGAGGCAATGGGGCTGCAGTGGGTCTGGGGTGAGGTGATGGAGGACCCCAGTTGCCCTGTGCTGAGGTTTCCTATTGCATCCTCATGTGGAGCATGTGGGGACAGCCCGGCTGTGGCCACAGCTCCCACCTCCTCCGGAGCCACACACACCCACTCGATGGACCTGGGGACGGCTGAGGGGACGGCCCGATCACACAGGTCAAACCTGATGTGGCCAAAGCATCGCCTCTCGGGAGCAATGCAGCTCCCAATCCCTGGCCAGGAAATGCTGAAAGCAGACATGGAGGGGTCTTCCCAAGGCCCCACAGGGAACTGGGGAAGAAATGGGACACAAGGAAGTCCCCTTCTTTACAAATCAGTACGATTCACAAAGCAGCTGCTGGGCTGGGCAAGGGCTTTCCGCTGCTCTCACTGCTGAGAACAAGACACTGAATGCATTTTTGAAGTCTTGGTTTTATTAGAGCTGCCCATCCCCAGCTCCGTTTGCCCCAGAACTGAGCTCACCCCCCCACAGAGGCTCAGCTCACACCGGGGTTAAATGCATCTGCCTTAACTCCACGTTTTCCATGGGGTAGCAGGGTCCGACGGGGTCCGGGTTGCGGACACGGTTGGTCTGGGAATGCTCACCCTTTTTTCCCAGCGCTGGGGCCGTGGGGCTCAGAAGAAGCGGCCCGTGGGCAGGCGGGGCAGGCAGAAATAGGCGTTGGGGAAGAGGCTGAGGTTGATGGGGTTGCCGTCGAGGCGGATGTCCTCCAGAGCCCTGCGGATCTGGCTGTGGTCCTGGCTGTCGCAGAATGTGTCCTCATGCATGGTCTGGATGTTGTTGTTCTGGCCAGGGAGGCAAAGGGCAAAATCAGATTCAAAGGGCTGGGGAGGAGGAAGAAGAGGAGGAGGAGGTGGTGGTGGGCTCTGCTAGCCTCAGGTAGGGCTCATCTCACCTGGAGGTGCAGGGAGCGGAGGCTCTCGGGCAGGGGGGCCGGGATATAGTCCAGCTGGTTATCGGACAGATGGAGAAACTGCAGCTGCTTCAGGTCCTGCGGGAAGAAGGGAGAGGTGAAGCTCCCTGCTCGCTGCCACGCTCCAGCCCTCTGCACCATCCCCGTTACCCGTTGGCATGGCAGTTTTGGGCTAAACCCAGCCTGGATTCATCCACTGGGCAGGCAGGGGCAGCACCCACCCGGAAAGCTTCGGGCTGGAGGCCGGTGCTGGGGATGCTGTTGAGACGGGCGTCGAGCCGGACGATGCCGCGGGGCAGCTCGGGCAGTGCCGTCAGCCTGTTCTCGGGCAGGATGAGCTCCTGCAGGCTGGGGAGCAGGCGGAAGGCGTCCGTGTCCACCCGGGAGATGAAATTGCTGGTCAGGTCTATTCGCTTCAGCTTCTCTGGTGGGAGAGGAGGGAGGAGCTGAACAGGGACCCACGCAGAACCGCTTATTCCCCCCATGGCCCACTGCAGAGCCTGGCCCTTCCCTTGCCTCAACGTACTCAGCCCCGTGAAGTCGCCGGCCCGGATCGCGCCGATGCGGTTGAAGCGGGCGTAGAGGTAGGTGGTCTCGGGCGGCAGCAGCGGGATGTGCTCCAGGTCAGCGTCGTCGCAGTAGACGGAGGTGCCGATGCACAGGCAGAGCAGGCAGCTACGTGCCCGCCCACCCCTGCCCGGGCTGTGGGGACACGATGTCTTGAGCACCCAGCGCTGTCTCAGCCCCAGCACCTTCATCAGCGAAACAGCCCAGGGCACCTCGTCAAGGGAAGGGCCAGAAAGTCCCAGCCAAAAGAGCTGCTAAGAAATGAAGCTGCTCAGGGCCAAATACCTCCCACGGGAGAGGGGGTGATGTCAGGTTGCCAAACACGGCAGCGTTACACCCAGGGCTCACTTGGCCCCCTTGGTTTTTCCGCAGAAGGAAACAGAACCGAAAAAAAAAGCAGTTTTGCATCAAGCAAGACATCTGTCTCGGCTGCGTGAGGGTCCCGGCAAGCGGGCCAGGGGCTGCAGGAGGGGTAAAGCCGTGTGTGTCCCCCCCGTGCTCCCTCCGCTCTCCCCCAGCACCCACAGGGCTCAGCATCCATTAGTGGGGGAGTTCAAAGCAGCAAGGCAACAATTTCCCTTTGCCTCCTACTTAATTTGTCCCAGTCCAGAGTGACAGAAAATGAATAAAGATATTTATCCCTCGCTACAGGATTTTAATTGTCACTAATCTAATTGCTACTCTGTCCGACTGTTGCAATGCCTCTGCTCATTAAAATGTTGCTGCTTTGCTGGAGCTCTTGTTTCCCAGAAATGTCTCACCGCAGCCCTCCTGCCTGCTGTGCACCCCCAGCACCCCGGGGCAGAGCAAATAGCTGCCGCTGTCTGCTGGGGGCGAAAGGACCTG